GATCATCACGTGCAAGGCCCTGTACTGCCTGTTCGTGCTGTATTTCATTGGACGCGAGGGGCGGAGGATCAGACGAAAAGGCAGGGAATATTTCAGAAGCTTTTGGAACTGCGTAGAGATACCGTTCATTGTACTGGAGGTAGCGGCTGTTGCACTGTACGGAGTAAGAACGGCTTTCTGTAACGACGTTCTGGATAAATTGAACGAAAGAGGTGGTTTCGTTAACTTCCAGTCTGCCGCTTGGTGGAACGATGTCTACAGTTACGTCCTCGCCTGTTTGGTGTTCGCCTCCATAGCCAAGTTTCTGGCGCTCTTGCGCTTCAACGGACGGATGGCCATGCTTTCCTACGTCATCAGACGGGCGACCAATGAGCTGGTCCACTTCACCGTCATGTTCTTCGTCATCTTCTTGGCGTACTGCCAGGTCACCTACCTCCTGCTGGGGACGACTCTTGCAGGGTTTGGGACTTTTCAGGTACGTTAAGTCTATTGGTAGTAATATGGATGTTTATATGGAAATATGGATGTTCATATGGACAAATCCAAGGGTGACCACTATGTCCAAGGGTGACCACTATGTCCAAGGGTGTCCACTCTGCCCACTATACAAAGGTGGCCGCTAGGCTAGACCATGTGGAGGTCAACCTTTATCTAAAGGTCCAAGATCTTTCTTTAAAAGATGGACTGATTTGTATCACCTGCGGGGCTGACTTTGTCATTGAATAAAAAGTTACGTCTGAGTTCCCCTTAGAAATCCTTTCAAAAATACAGGAAATGCCATTTTCAGAAGGTTCAATTTGCAAAATTTTCCGGGGGAGCATGTCCCAGGCCTGGACCCCCCTTGGAAACTCGCTGGTCCATCAGACCTTCAGAAGACACCCCCCCCCATTCAAACTCCTGGCTACGGGCATGTACTTTACTAAAATAACTCCTTTTTGCACACGTACATGTAGGCCAGCCTTGAGATGATGTTTGCGATTCTCCTGGGTGACGTGGATCTGTCCTGGGTGCTGAAGGCGAGTCCGCTGAGCTGTGTCTTCCTCCTCACCTTCATCCTCACATTGGTGATGGTCATTGTGAACATGTTCCTGGCTATACTCGTGGATTCTATGAAACATGTCAAGGTTAGAAAGCACAACGTCTATTATGCTACCTTTACAGAAGGAAACATATCGTTTTTGCTCCGTTTCTTCTTCTTCTTCTTCCGTTCTAAACAAATAAGATGAATAACACTGTACCTTTACAAGATGACTATAAATGACGATGTAACAGATGCCCTGTGGTGTTGGATTACAGTATGTAGCAAGTGGCTGAGCAAAATTGGGGCTGGTCATCATGTATATGCATCGTTTAACCCTACCTAGACCGGGCTTTTTTTGACATGGGGGGACCGGGGGGGGGCTCTTTTGACCCCCCTAAGAACTCGCGAACGGTATGTCGTATGACCACCAAATTTTCAGAGAATGGTGTACTAGTAAAAATTTATCATATCCACAATTTTTATGTCGTTATGACGTAATATTACGTCATTATGACGTCATTAATGTGATTTTATTGGCCAAAACCGTCTAAATAGTTTTTCCCTGAAAACTAAATGGTATTCAACATAACTGTACCAAAAGTGTTTATGACAGAATATTATGGTGTACTAAGTCTTATGTTGCCCAAAACAACACCGGTGACGTAAAAAAATGACGTCATGCATATTTAAGATATCCGCCATCTTGGATCATCAATCTTGAATTTTCAAAAATAGTTTTTTTTTATGATAAAGCCTAAAATACATTGTAAACATACTAAAGACCTTCATTTAAACTTTTTTGGAAAAAGAAATGGAAGTATTGATGTAATTTTAATGAAAATAACCTGTATATACCTGTTCTAATGATATGGTCCGCCATCTTGGATTTTGGCCAATGACGTCATCAAATTAGCATAAATTATGCATATTTAATGATAAAATTTACATAAAATTATAAGGGATGTTATTAATATTAGAAACCATGAGTAACTTGACATAAAACCCATAAAATTCTATTGTTGAAACAAAAAGTACTAAATTTAGCAAAAAATGCCCGTCAGAAACCCGTTGCCATGGCAACACAAAAAATCATTATCTTATTCCAATGATAGAGAATTGTTGCCAACAATATTTTAGGAAAAGTCACCAAGTTTGGCCGTTCTACGGCTAGCCGTTCAGACGCTAGGTGACATCGAAGTTGCCGCGGGCACTTTTAGCCCCCCCCCCCCGGTCTAGGTAGGGTTAAGTGAGAATAAACAAAGCAGTAATTTATTAGGCTAGACCATATGTAGGTAAGTACATGTATTATGTATTTGCTTTGCAAATATTACTTTTCTAGCTAACTAGGAACCGTTTCAATATGTTTGTCTACAATATCACTTGGCATCAACATGCCCAAAGATACTACCAACACTGGCATAGTATATACTAGTACTGTTCTCTTGTTACTGTATGATGATATGACAATAACCTACCATTTTCAATACCCTTAAGGATGATGTAAGAAGGCTGAAAAGGGAGAATGAATTGACAGACTTCATGATCCATCGTCTTAAGGCAATGTTCAAGTTGGCAGATAAGACGTCACATCCATCTATCAAGACCACAACTCCCCAACCGGAACTCAAACCATCCATCCGCACCACTCACGAGGTACTGTACATTTTATAAAATATTATATATACACATTTACTCCAAAAATTATTCAAGCAAGTGACGCCTGTCTATGATTGATTGATTGATTTGCCGATTCTTACCATGACCAACCCAGGACAGTAAGCCTTATGAACCAACACATCTGTTACAGGTGGCTACTAGTCCTTTGCCTTCCCCTCGGACTATACCAGGGGTTGAGAACACAACAGAAGAAAAGGGACAAGGTACAATGCATTTATTTCATACCTACGGCCCCAGTTGCTCGATGTGTAAATATTTGTAACGCTCAGATCTAGATTGTATGTGTGCTATGAAACTTTTGTAAATCTTTTTTGGTGCCAGCAGTCTTAAGTAACGATCTAAAACCACATGAAACAATGTAAATATTCAAAGTACACATCTAAAACAACCTACTTTATTCCCAGTCGCAGAGACAAGCCAGATGGATAAACCAGTGGAGAACCCTACCGACCCAGCTGGGGCCTTCGACGTCACCGACCTCCCGGGTAGAGTTGAACATCTTCTTCACTATGTGTACGGCCAGTATGGCGGTGATATCACGATAGACCGACCACAAAGCACCGCAGAGGCATCCTCGCCTTCAGAGAGTCCAGATTCAGAAGATGTTGACGAAGAGCTCAAGTACCTTCGCAATGATGAAACAAGTCCAACAGCCAGCCTTGACAGCTTCGAATTGCAGCTGCAGCACGGCCAGACACCGCTAGGGCATCCAAGAGACCAAATTCGCACAACGTCTAGAAGTAACACACCACCAGACCGTGTATCGGTGAGCCCAGTGACGCCTAGAGAAGGTCCGTCGCCCCAAAGTTATGGAAGCAAGACCCCGTCTCCGGTGGGAGGTGCAGTTCTGTCAACTCCTCCTGCCAAGAGTGACACAAAGAAATCTTCTAAGAGCGATGAAAAGAGGTTTTATCACAAGGTCAGTACGTCGCTGTCGGTTGATGTGGTGGTCCACATTGCCTCCAAAGAATCGTCTGTTGCGGAGGATTTGACTGACCCTGACCCAGACAGACCCAAGAAAAATCTGGATGTAGACACTCTTTCCTCCAAGCCTCCCATATCACCAAGGGTGCCAAGCACCCATAAGAAGCAAAATGCCGACAAGAAGAGGCCTCGTTCTGATCGCAGACAGAAGATGACTCGAAGAAGCTCCGTGTCCCCGAAAAGAGACTCGCAAAGAGATGTCAAGAAGTCGGAGTACGAGGATTTTGGCGACGCCACATGGGGTCGTGCCGGAGCCAGATCTGCGACAAGCAGTCCCGTGGATACCGACTGTCCGTCACCCCCGTACCCTCCACCGCCACGACCGTTTCTCCCGTCCCGGGAAGGTAGCACGACCGTCCAGCTGGCTACGGGCTGGCGTCGCCCCCGGGTTCAGAAGCTGAAATTCCGCCACTCCATGGCTGGGAACATTTCGGAGGTCGGCGATTCAGACAAAGCATCGGGTCTACCTGCCTTCACACCCGCGCCACAGTCCTGAACTCACCCCCA